CCCCAAAACCCCAAAACCCCAAAACCCCAAAACCCCTATACTAGAATTTATATTGAAGAATTCATTAGTGGTATCTGATACAAACTTTAGTAGCTATCTTCTTCTACTGTTCTGAGTAAAAACTTCTCGACTCTAATTAAATGGTCCCTATCTGCTTCAATGTGATATATATAATCATCTACTGTGTTAAAGACTCTTCCAAGATCTTTGTCAACTTCATCAGGTTCATGTGTTGCTTTCTTGGGACAAATAAAGCAAGTTCTATCCTCTGGTAGAACATTAGACCAGTCTATCTCTTTCTGAGCAATCTCATCTTGAGCAAATGCCTCTGCAAAATTATTTTTCCACAACAAAGGAGACCACTCACGAGTGCTTCCCATTGGAAACTTAAAAAGTACTGGAGATGTCTTGGTGAAGTAATACTTGAACTTAACTCTAATTCCTCAAATATGGTTATAATGGCACATTAAGTAACTAAAATCTTCAGACTTCCTTATATTCTTTGAGGATGATATAACATATGGATCATTTCTTTGCTCCTGAGAAAGTTCATTTAGCTCTGTAAGTCCACAGAGCGTCCCTCCAATTTCACAAAGTCCTTGGGCTTCCTTCCTCATGACAAGACTTTTAAGGTCGCAAATACGAGACTCACAACTGGCTCAGACGATAGCACAGCTCCTGAGTTTGAACAACTCGCACCTCGCTTGCATCTCTCTGACGACTTTCTTTCTGAACCAGAGTCTTTGGTCGTATTCTCTTTTGATTCGCTCTGGCTCTCCCTCAGCGAAGACCTTCTTTGCGCAGAGTGTTTGTCAGCTCAGTTTGTTCAAGAAATAACTCACTTTCTTCACATTTTTGAGTCCAGTTTTCTTAGTTGAGGAGCCACCACGGTCTTCGGAGTCTTTATCTGGATCTTTGGTGGCATCGCCAGGAGATGCCATTTTGATGTCATCGCTTGAAGAGCTGTCATAGCCCATCTTGCTTCCTCATTCATTGGTTCCTTCAGCGTCAGCTTCACTACTGCCCTCTCCATCTTCAGATCCATCTTGGGATCCATCTTGAGAATCGCTTTTGGCTTGTTCTTGCGCTTCATCCGAGTCACTCTCTTCAAAGGCTTCCAGCTTCTTACTCATATCTTTGAGAGACTGAGCTTGAGCTTCAGCTACACTTGGCTCCCAGGTCTTCTCCGCATCGTCTGGGTCTATAAGTGTGGCTTCTGAAGAATCAGGGTCATCCCCTCTGGGCCTGTTGCTTGGAGTGGCTTCTACCGAAGCTGTGTATGCTCTGTTCTCCTCACTTGGATTGTGACTTCAGTGAGAAGACTCTCCCACTCTGTTGATCTGGAGATCCTGAGGCCTGTCAGGATTCTCAACAAAGAAGTTTCTGATTCTATCTACCAAATAGGCAAAATCCTGCTCATCACTTCTCAGAAGAATGAGGTCATGGAATTGGTCAATTTTCACTCTCTCTTTCTTGATGAAATTGTTTAGTTTAGCGGCAACATTGTAGGCGATTCCACTCTTCAATCCATCTTCAGAGCAGATACTCTCGTTGATAGTCTTCCTGATGTCATCGATCGCTTCAATATCGCTTGGAGTGATCCAGTACTTGAGAGGGTAAGTGCTGTTATTTGTCATTATCAAGCATCACTCTTTCGTAGTAATCGCCTGTTTCATTGGCCATGAGCTCAACCATTGGTGAGAACAACATGCAGTAGAGAAGTGAGATCATGCTGTACTCAGGCATTTTGGTGACTGATCTCGCTGTGAACTTACCACCTCTATCATCGAAGCTTTGACAACAGAAGCCTACTGAGTCCATTGTATCTGGGTCGCTGTGTAAATATACGAAGTTTACAGAGTCTTGCTCAGCATCCACAAATACTTCGTTGTCAAAAGTAGCCATGCGTATCTGGTCGAGGTGGATGCAGTGCTTTAACTGAGTTTCTTCAAGCAGCTTCATTGCTGTTTTGTCGTCAATATCTTCTCCCTCTTTTATGAGTAATGAATTGAGGTCTTCATCATCAGATGGCACGTCATCGAGTCAGGCCTGAGCTCTAAACTTCTGTTTTTCAACTGAGTAAACCTTTTCACTGGCAGACGGCCTGGCGTCTCCACGCTCTTGTTGTCTACGCATTCTCGAGTGATCTCCAAATCCAGCTTTGTCGGCGTTGCTGACCTTCCTGTCGATCTTGAAGCACCTCTTCAGGTTGTTCATGAGCTTGAGCTTGTCGCTGGTGCCTTCCAAAGTGACGATCGGCTTCTCGTACATGATGACTACTCTCTCAGCCTGGAGCCCGATGTGGTTGTTGATGACCGCCTGGACGTGAGGCTCTTTGATGTAGTCTGGCACTTTGCTGTACAACACGCTCCTGCCAGCCACGTTCTTGGGGATGATCTGAGGCTTCAGGTACTTTTCTCTTTCATAGACATTTCTGTATTCTGAGCGAATGTATCTTCTGTAGAAAGCTCCAGCAAGAACGGTTCTCAGAGTGTTAATCCCATCTTCATTGTATTCGACTCTTTTGTTGAGAACATCGGGCTGAACTCCGAGGTTGACAAAACGGAACCTGATATCTTCGATGAGGATCAGAGTCTCTTTCAGGATTGACCAGTCTACGAATATACTACGGCACCACTTCAGCTCATCTCGATTCTTGTGAACCTTTGGTCTCCTTGATACTCTATCGCCTCCTGTATAGGCTCCGAAGTGTTCACGATGGAATTGGCTGCACCACTCTTCATAGACCCTGCACATCATTATTGAGTCTGAGCAAACTCCTCCATCATATTTCAGTTTTGTGTTGAGGATGCTCCAGGCCCCATGTCCTCTCCCGATGCTATTTGAACATGGACCTTTGCTGGCTGTGCAGACATCCCATGGTGATAGCCTGGCTCATGCATCCAAAGGCAAGGCCGAGCAGAAAGAGTCTGGTGATCTTGATATCAGCAGGGATGTTTACAAAGATACGGCCAAGCTCGGTGATATCACCAGTGGTGTCTCCAGATTTATCAATTGTGAGAGCTCCAGTCTCTTGCAAGGCTTTGATTGATATTCCAATGTCTCTGATCAGTGGAGGCTGAATAGCTCTTCCCAAGATTTCAGCAGGCTCGAACATTCCCCATAACTTGATTTGCAAAATCAGCTTTTCAAGAGGACATCTTTGAATCTCAGGCGTTGGATAGCTTGACATGTGGCATTTATAGAACTCATGCGGTACCATTCTGAACACAAAGCCGTCTTGCACTCTTCCTGCTCTGCCACTTCTCTGTCTGCATGAAGCCTTGCTTGCCCAACGAAGCTGAAGGTTCTCGTTCTTGTTGATTGGGTCATAAAATATTTCCTTTGTCAAACACAAGTCGACGACATAGTACACATCAGGGATGGTGATCGAGCTTTCAGCAATATTTGTTGCAATGATAACTTTCCTCCTGCCTGCTGGGGGATCTCGGAAAGCCTTCTCTTGCTCATCTTCTCCAATGGACGAGTGGAGAGGGATCAACAACAAATCTTTGGCATCAGATCCTTCATTCTCAATGGTCTCAATGAGCTGCATGATTTCATGAAGTCCTGGCATAAACACAAGAATTGTTCTCTTGTTTCCTGGCTCTTCTTTGAATGAGTTCTTGGCTTCCAACAGTTGGACAATGAGAGTGCTGGTTGCTCTGATCGTCAACTCATCGAGTGATGCTTGAGCAGGATTGAAGTTCCTAGCAATGTCATAGATCGGGTCAGTCTTCGGTATCTTGAGCACTTCATCCATTCCCTCGAGCACGAACTCAAGGTAGGTCACTTTAACTGCAAAACTCTGACTGCTTACATCAATCACAACAGCTGGGTCGTTGGTTCGCTTGACTGGCATTTCATCTGTGAGAGCATCTGCGGAGTTGCCCCAGTCTTTGGCTTCTTCACCGGTGTTCTCCCATGGGTCTACTTCTCCTTCGGTGTGGTAGACTTTGCCCCATCCTTCTTTCCTGACAACAGAGTGGCCTCTCTTCTCATCGCTGCTCCAGATCTTGAGCTTCTGGTTGGAGTAGGCAATTTCGTTCTGGACATTATCAATGGCTCCTTCAGAAAAGTAATGGCAAAAACTCGATGCTTGTATGGTTGCAGACATGAGGATCAGCTTGATGTACGACCTCTTGAGTATGTGCTTGAGGATGACCATCGCAAAGTCGATGTCGCAGTCCCTCTCGTGGACTTCATCAAGGACGACGTGGGTCACTTTTTGTAGGAAGTCATCTCTGTTGACTAATCTTTGCAAAAAGATACCTGTTGTCATGAACAGAATCCGAGTCCGGTTGTTGAGTTTGGCTTGACTTCCAACATGATACCCAACAAGCTCGCCTACTCTCGTCTTTGTTTCATCAGCCACTCTCTTGGCAATGTTGATGGCTGCAAGTCTCCTCGGCTGTGTTCACAGAATGAAAGCATCTGGGTCGTCTTGAAGAATGTACTGAGGCACCTGGGTAGTTTTACCGCAACCTGTGTTTCCAGCTATAATAGTCACTCTGCCACCATTTCGGATCTGGTCAATTATATCTTTTCTCTTGTTCGCAATTGAAAGATTCTTGTTATACTGAGTCGAGGGTTTGTACCTTTGTCCTCTTCCTCTCCCTCCACTAAAACCTCTACTTCCACTGCCACCTCTACTTCTTCTCTCTATATTTATTAGTTTGGCGAACTATGCAAAATTAAGTCCTTACCTTGAGGATTTTCGTTTCTGCCACCAGGGATATCCTCTCTAACTCTTCTATAGTTCTTTCTTCCTGGTCCTTTATCGTCTGCCTTCCTATCTCTCTTCTTGGGTATGCTAGGCAGGTTGTTGAAATCTGGGTTTGGATTGTACATCTTTTACCAAATATTAAAATATCAAACTCAATATCGTTAATACAAAGGGGTTTTGGGGTTTTGGGGTTTTGGGGTTTTGGGG